TTAAAAAACTACTTTACTTCAATTATCTAGATTTTTAAAGTGTTTTCTCCATTAATTGTTCTAATAATTGGCTCTAATTCTACAATGCTTCTTTGACTTCCATTCTCTTTAATTCCATCTCTTCTCCCCAATACCATAGATGTATTTGCTGTATGTCATCACATTCAATTGTCACAGTGGCACACAAACACATACTATTCACGCACACACATCCATATTACTACACTTAGCTATTTACAATTATAGTATTAAGCAGATACTCACCAAATATTAACTTCATTTGGTTCTTTGTAGCCAATTAAATATTAACTGTTTTAAGGCTATATCTCTCTTGTGTCTCTACAGGTAAAAATATTCTCCCATTCTCCCCCCATTTTAGTTAACTTGGCTTTTGCTTTAGTAGAAATGCAAATCACATTATAGGCAATTTTGAAAAACTGACTCACAGCTGACTTAGGCAATGCATCTTCACACAACTATGGCCAGAAAATAGTCCTCCATCTTGATCCTAAAGGGCAGCTTAGGCTGCCTGGAGGCCAAGGATCACAGCACAGAACAATGGCACTAAAAGAGTTCCCTCTAGTCCTTGATTCACATGCAAGTGAGGTGCCAATCAAGTGCTGACAAGCATGAAGAAACCAAAATCAAAAGTGGATAGAGATACATTTTAAAAAGGGGCAGTTTTCACACATTTTTTTAAAGTGAATTGGGGCCATTTGTTTGTGAAAACACCATGGAGGGGGAAAAATTGATGAAACTGATAAAGAAAAGCCTCATTTTGGGTTATTTGCACCATTTACCACCCCCCCATTTCCCCCACGTCCCCACCCCCCAGCTTAAGATTTAAAGCAGGATCAGGTAAATTTCATAATATCTGAATAAACTTCATAATTTGGGCTAAGAAAAAAAGATATTAATTCACCTAGAGAGCTTCTGAGATGGCATACAAGCCTTAACTTTTCTATTAATTCATTTCTACAAACTGAGAATGTTTTCATGTTATTTGATTTTGTTAAACTGACCAGCTTATTGCTAAGAAGAGGGCTGGGCACCCAGAAACAGCAGACAAGGAAGCAACAGGGGGCTGCTCCATCAGATGTGTCTATGACAGAGATAAAGTATAATAACTGTATTGGTTTCTACTTAATGAAAGCTAATTTCTGCCAAATGAACATCTATTTTCAACCTCTAATACAAGGGAAAAGCTACTTATAAAGGCAATAGATGCCTTCCAATTAATTCAGGAAGTATGCTTATGTGGTATAATTTATTCCTATGACAATTTATTTTTCCAAGACAAAAATACTTTCTACTGCAGAACATCCTAGGCAAAAACACAGCACTAATTATGGTGAACATTTTCACTATACATGAAACTGACTTCCTAAATCAAAAAAAATCATGGCATTTGAACTACTTCAAGATAGCTTTTTAAATTAAAAGGTTACATTTAGGCATTACCTAAGAATTCGGAAAAGAACAGAAGAGTTAGGTTGAGAGTTGGAAAGGACCTTAAGCCATCTTTGTCAGTACACTATGACAAAGGTTTATCATTATCTTTAGGCTAACAGTTTGTCTCCTTGCCTTTGAAGACCTAATTAGACTGAAGAGAGAATTGGATGCTCTCTCCAAGCTGTCTCATCAATGGTCACTTTCACTAACAACACTAAAAGTTTTAGAAATTTGAATTTAGGAATGTGGAATGTGAGTAGTTGATACCTGGTGAGAAGAAAAACATTGAGTGGCATACTTTCTACCTCAATTTTTTATTGTAGCAAACTGCATATAGTTTTTATGAGCTTAGAGCTGAACAAGCACCATAATTTACCATCATAAACAGAATGCTGCTTTTGAAAATAAATCTTGAGCCACAATATACTCTCTTTTAGGGAAATTTCACATCATGAGGTAAGATATGTTCATGAAAAATTTGAGTTTTCAAAAGCAGTAATTAGGAAAAAGCAGTAAGATCTATGGTTATGATTAGTGCTCTCTATTTAAAAAGCAATTCACCTTTAGGCATCTATTACCTGACCATTTATTTTTACACTACACTTAAATGCAATTTTGGTTAGGAAATGGAAAGATGGATTTTAGCAATAGGTCTATTAGTACCTGTAATTCAAATTATAAACAATGTAACTAATTACATTTATGTTGAAACTTTGCTTCTTATATGTTTTAAATCACTTTTAATAATTTCAGTTGCAATCCACAAGCCTAGAAATGTAAGGGAAATATGCACTCATGCAGCATGAGTAGGAGAGCTTCCATGTATTCAGACATTAAACCATAAATGTACATTGTATTTCACAAGGAATGTGCGTATATCTAGACATAAAAGCTTTAGACATGAGTAAAATTCTACACACTTAAAAATCTTTCATAGCACTATTTTCTTTAGAAAGGCATGGCTTAATAGTCATTTTAGCAATTTATGGTCTAATTTTGTTGGTAAGCTACTAAGCCAAATATCTAAAACAAACCCAAGAACATTTATATTGCAATGTTCAAGACTCATTTTCTTCCACAAATGCAACTTCAAAATTTGAATCTATGTAAAGGAATTTTCTACAGTATCCTACCCATTAAAAACAAAGCAAAGCAAAACCAAAACACCCACAGGATAAAAAATATATTTGAAAGCTTCAAATGCAGTGACTTTGCTCTTATCGATATTGAGAAAATAAAAGAATACTCATTTATTTTTTATGTAAGAGTTTTTTAGTTTAAAACTCTTTAAATTACTATTAGTTATTTAGGGGGCACATTCTTTTACAAAACAGATCAGCCCCATGTCAAAGTTAGGCTGCTTTAAACACACACAGATTAAATTGGGACGGTCATCATTAAAATTTTTAAAAGATAAACAAGGCATATTCCATTAAATATACTTCTCAGCCTTCATTTTGCATGACAGATATGTGATGTGCCAGTGGTTATATTATATTCTTCCTCCCATGCATGCACCTCCTGCTGAGACAGCAGACTACAGAAGCTGACCCTTACTGAGACCATCTTGTCTCTTTGACAAAGCTCCTTTTTAACTTCTTACTTACTGGTTACTTCCTGTGATGGAGAAAAACTTTAGCTCAGCTTGTGATAATTTCACAGGCCCTGAGGACCCTGACCCTAATAGCCTCAAGGTCAAAAGTCAAGTCTTGTTCTGAAACATCTGTGTGCTTTATATTAAAGTAGAACAAAAGTAGAGAAATATCCACCAGTGTGACGAGAGAGACAGGAAAAATAAGAATGACACACTCATCATCTGTTACCCTTGCCATGTCAGGTCTGTTATTAAAATTTGTCCCAAATAAACTAAATTTAGAAATAATCTTCACAAAGGAGTTTGTTTTCTTTAAAAGTCTTAAGGTTACTTTGAATACAAACAAAACTATTTAAAATGAGAATTCAAGGTCTGGGTTTTTTTTTTTTGAGATCTGGATGTTTTATTAACTTTGCAGGTTCAGGTGGATATGTTATCTATAGCTGAGTAGAATGTTGTGGTCTTAGTACTATACTTAAAAACTGACAGCCAGCCTATAAAAAGGAAAGAAAAGGCATATAATATTTGTACTAAACATCACATGAACCATTTGAAAATATAATTAATGTAACAAAACCACCAGGTAAGCAAAAGATGTGTGGGGTTTTTTTAAACCGCAATGTAGCATATGTAAATAAATTTGCTATAATGTACAGATTTGGGACACTAAAGGGTGCTTGGAAATAAACAGTAATTTAAATAATTTTGGGAAACAACATGTAAAATTATTGTAGTCATCTTTTAGTTTAATATTTGTATAAACAGGTCAAATAATCTCATACTCAGGTATCAGAGTGTGAGAAATTACACTAAGGAAGGTGATAAGGCAACTGGAATTTAATTTCCAAATAATTAAAAATTCACAAAGTCCACATTCATTTAAACTTAGCCTCCAATACATTCTAAACTTTTAAATACATACCCATATTTGTGGGGGGAAAACTCATAAATTAATCAATAACATATTATAACACTTTTTAACATCAAAATTCACTGGTACATAGATATTAATGTTGCATTAGTATAAGTTTTTAGCAATGAGATTACTTTAAATTTATGCATCTAAAAAGATATGCCACATCCAGCATAAAACTGGCCTTCATAACATTTCAACACTGGATATAATTCAGAAATTTCATAAAACGCTTTTATACAGTACATAATACCTTTAATACAGTAGATAATACCAAAAGAATCAGATTATTTTTAATGCAAAAATTATTACGAACAATTTTCATGCACCAATTGTAATTTCAGCAAAGATGATTCAATCCAATTATTTTAATATGTTTAGTATCTTTGGATTCTGATTAATTTGAAGAGAAATGACCAATTAGCTCTGAAATCCTATTAGTCTATAAAGATTATTAAACATTTATCAATATTCAAAGGGCCTTGTGCATTTTAAAATATCACATAGGTTGTCTTTTTTTCTTTGTTTGCTTGTTTTGGTTACGATCAATGATTTTATTACTATAGGGAATGTAGGTGTGCAACCTCCCTCCTCTGATGTTGACTGGTGACTTAAGAATCTTCAAGAGTAGCTTGGAACACTAAAGCGTTAAGTGACTTGCCCAGGGTCACACAGTATGTGTCAGAGGTAGTATTTGAATCCAAATTTTGCTGGCTCTAAGGACATCCCTCAGACTGTTACGCCACACTACCTATTGAAGAGGTTATATACTACTAGAGAGTATACACATGAAATATACTGTAAAACACATAGAAACACTGTAACATAGAAAAGAAGCAGTTGACTCATTTAAAAAAGAGTTATTAGAATGTGTTTTCTAAGTCCTTACCAAAGGAAATATTTTCTAAAAAATAAGGATGGATTAGTTACCTGAAATATTTTACATATTTCTATTCTTTGCAAAACATTTTAAAGAAACAGATGGTACCCTAAAAATAGAAACGTATAGAAAGCATGAATGAAATCTGAGTATGTGCTTACCAATTCAACAAAGGCAAGTCCTCCATAGCTGTGAGCAACAAAAAATGTGTTCTCAGCTGCAGAATGAGTTATGAAGTGATCCCATACATAGATTAAATGTTCTTCAGGAGAGCCGTTGTCCTAAAGAAGGAATATGGATATGATTACAGATGATGTCCAATTATTAACACAATATTCTACAAGCAAGCATATGTTAATCTAATTATTTATTTATACATATCATTCAAAGAAAGTATAAATATACTTATTGTAGAATAATAAAATTCTAAGTAAAAGAAAACAACAGGTTTTCAGAGCAAATGTAATCGATCATCGCATGGCATAAAATATGATAGTTGTAATCTATTAAAAACTATAATGATAAAATAAACAAATGTTAAAATTAAAATAAAAGGATAATTTCATTTTATATGAGGGTTTTTTTTTATTTTAAGCTCTTTCACCTATTATTACTTATTTGGGCCTCTCTCTTTTACAAAACACAGCATTCTATTCAATTATTACATGGATCCATTTTTCCAGCCCCATGCCAAAGTTGGAGAAAATAACAGTTACATGGGTGAGGAAATCTGTAGCAGTCTTTTAAAGTGCACAGAATTTTAAAGCATGAGTTAAGAGAAAATGGTATTCCTGATATACAGTATTTAAAAGAAATTTCATAGCAATTATTAATTTTTTGCCCAAACTTTCCTATGATAAATCAGCTTAACATTACAAGTTTAGCAATATTTCTACTTTGCCATCTAAAAAAGGGTTTTTTTAACTGCATTGAAGATTACATGATTTATATATTTCATTTTGATTATTTTAAAAATAATATCCTTTTTTTCTTCAATAATTTTCTAAATGGAACTTCCTGTATAAAAAAGTGGAAGCTCACACATAATCAATTTAGGGATTTATAATTCCCTCCCCTAGTTCAATGCCATGTAATATATTTATTTTAATATGGGAGTTTGCTATAGTATTATTTTCTTATTGTTATTTCAACTTTAATACATGCCATTTACATATACATTTACATTTTATGATTATCACACAAATTGGGTAATATACCACAGAACTTGTTAATAGTTAACTTTTTAAAATTCCCAAGAACTGAAATTAAAACACGATGAAATTCTGTTCTAAATATTATCTGGGTAACTTAAAAATTAACTAGCCAAAAAAATGAACTGTTGATTTCCTGGATGTATTTTATTTGGCATCAGTCACCTTTGGAATGTAGAGATGTGACATACTTAAAAAAAAAAGCACAAAACTTTGAATTTTTGGTAAGAGCACATATGCAGTGTTCTATCTATGAACAGGGTGATTAGCCTTTTCAAATGCAAAAAAGGTTATTAAAAATGAAATATGAGGCTTATTTAAATAATGCTTGAAGGTTTATGTAATATTCTGGCATAATACCTCTGTTAAGCATTATATTATTATTACCATTTTACTGAAGAAGGAATACAAAGATAAAACAGATCCTGTCCTCAAGTAGCTTATATTTTATTTGGAAGGACAATAATATGTGCATGTATGTATATATGTATATATATATACACAAAATACATAAATACACATACAAAATAAATATAAGGCAATTGGCAAGGAGAGGGAATTAGCAGATGGGAGCAAGAAAGGCTTCATGTACAAGACATAATGCAAATATTAAGTTATCTATTGGTATAAAAGCCCATACATGAACTAAATTTTTAAAATACATTAAAAGGTACTTAAGAATTTGATTTTGGGAAATTAAAGAACAGCAGAACCCATTAGAATCCCTTCCCACCTAAGCAGACTATGTTTATCTGAAGCAACTGCTAGCAATCCTTTAAATGGCTTTAAAGAATCTGAAAAGTTTTTATGGATTTGAGCAGAACCTCAAATTTATGATCCTGCAGCTATAAGGGCCTTAAGGAACCACTAGCCGGGACCACTCATTTTACAGATGACAAAACTGCGGCTTAGAGAAATGAAATGCCTCGCTCAGGGTCATAAAGGTTTTAAGTAGCAAAACTGGGACTGAAATCCAGGTCTTTTCATTCCAAATCCAGCCCTCTCTTCATGGGACTATCTCACAAAGCAATGTGATAGCACAGTCAGTAATTAATTAAAGGCTGTAATCAATGAGAACTAATAGTAGGATCTGTTATGTTAAAGTATAGATCAACATGACTTATAGCTTAGACATATTCCTAAAAATCTGTGTCTATGTATAACGAGAATTTTAGAGACACATCAATACATTTTTAATATAAAAAAACAGAACATCTCAAAAATGACGGTCTGGTGAAATCTTATTAAGGGCCAAAGAGTCTTTCTTACATAACTCAATTATCTCTGAAAATACTACAGTATTAAAATGGTATAATAATTGATGTTCATAATGATGACCTAGCATTATTAAATTATGTATTTTAAGAAGGCAGGGAAACGTGTAATATCTAAAATGCCTAAATTTTTTATTATAAGTTTTGATACCTGAGATAAAGCCTCAGCTAGCTGAAAAACCTAAAGAGCCATTCCCTAGGCGATTCTATTTTTATTCCATTTTATTTATTCTACTTCTGCTTCAGTATGAATCAGTTAAGTTTGTCCTTCTAAAAGATCATTATTTTTCTATTTTGCCATCTCCAACAATTAAATATTTTAAACAGGTCTTTGAAGAGCTTTATAATTATTCATCAATGTAGAACACAATTTTAAATTTCACACCTCTCAAATCTAGTTTACAATTTTAAATTTCACATCTCTTGTTCTGAGAACGAAAATACATAAAGCATTCATCTAGGTGTATATATGTAAGAAAGTATTCATATATATTTAAATCAATTCTACCACTGCACTAGAAAGACAATCTATGCCTCCACAGTCCTGGTGACTCCCCTTCCCTGGACAGCATTCTATCTTTCTTTCTTTCTTTTCTCTTTTCTTTTTTGCTAGGGCAATGAGGTTAAGTGACTTGCCCAGGGTCACACAGCTAGTAAGTGTCATGTGCCTGAGTCCAGATTTGAACTCAGGTCCTCCTGACTTCAGGGCCAGTGCTCTATCCACTGCGCCATCTAGCTGCCCCCTAGACACTATTCTACAAGAGTGTTATATCCCCCTATTAAAATGTAAGGTACCAGAGGGTAACATGAATCTCACTTTTGTATTTGTACTCCCAGCACAGTGCCTAGTAGGTGCTTAATAAATGCTGGCTGACTGCCTGATACATCCTCATGATGTGCAGTCATTCTCAAAGGGCATATGCTCACAGAATGTAACCCATGCTGCTAATAAGCTTTTTAGACTTGAACTACAGACCTAGTGATGGATAGAATGTCTGTTGTCCTAGCACTGGCCTAATTAAGTTCAGAAAGGTTTATCACCAGGTTGGCCAGAGAATGATGATTTTTTTTTTTGCAACAGTAAGACCTGAAAAAACAATTATCTACTAAGTCTTAGAGGGGATGGGATTTGCATCAGTGGATGAGACCCACACTGACAAAAAGAAAATCAATACTGTTAAATTATTACCAGAAAAAATTCTTCTGACAAAAATAGATCCTAATATAGGAAAATCCACATCTTGCTTACAGCAAAAATGTAGAATCCACTGTCTAAGGATTGCATATGGATTTCATTTCCAAGACGGTGATTTTATTTTGATTAACTTTGTATCTAAAGGTAGATTATTTCAGAATAATTCAAAGTAATTGGTATACAAAATATAAATAATATTAAGTAGTCCAAGTCATTGGGGCATCCTGATAGCAAAATGCATGGAGGATTTAAAAGACTGGAATTCTGATGCCTTCAGAGGACAGGTTGAATTTACTAATGTATGATTGTCATCATTAATGGTTAAATACCAAGCAGAAGTGATGCAATAACCAAAGCCTTATCAACTCTACCAGATTCTAACACAGAGACATTGCAAGGTCTGCATTTATGATGGACTACCTGAGCTGATAACACACGGAATTATCTAAACAACATTTGCATATTTGTGTAATTATTTTCTAAGGTTAATTAGCTCCTGTAAAGCAGTCCGCCCTTTGAGACTGCTTTCAGTGACAGGTTCACATATTTTTTTGAACCAATGCCAAATTTGACAGATTTTCTTCTGCTAACTTGTTGCTGGAAAGTTATAAAATGACTAGTGCCACAATACTTTATATGCCTCTTTAAATTTCTAATTGATCTTAAAAAAAATTAAAAGGAAACTAAAATCAATTTAAATTTTTCTTTCCGTGCCCATTTTTAAAGCTGGAATTCCAAGATTACTTTCCCCTGAAGAATTATCTATGTTTAAAGGAAGACTGGTAGCCTAATAATTAACAAAGCTTATTTATGTATAAAGAAATCTGAGGCTGACACTTCCATGGCTCCAGACCAGAGGGCATCTGTTTAATTGTGTCACTAATTTTCAGTTACATCCTGCAAGAAGTTCATTACTGGTCCATTCTTTTCTTCATTTTTAATTGTATGTTTTTTACATTCAAAGTAGAGGACCAGGGAATGATTTCTCCCAGTTAAACATAGGAAAGAAATACCTTTTTGGTCTATCAGAATAATGAAAAGTTAAAGTCAAAGTATAACCATTTAATCATTAGGTATAAAGGCAGGAAAAATGATTGCTTCCTGATTCTTATAAGATGATCTTATCAAATACAATGGGATAGGAGGGATAAAAGGTTGTGAGGAAATCTGAAATTGTCATGGGATCATAGATTTAGAAATGGTAGGAATCTTAAAGGTCAAAAGGTCATACCTCTTCATTCTACAAAGGAGGAAAATTGAGGCCCAGAAAGGTTAACAGACTTGTCCAGAGTCACAGTTACTAAATATCTGAGGTGGGATTTGGACCATGTCTTCCTGGTTCCATGCTGTTTCTTTTTTTTAAAGCACATTTTGAAACTTCAGTCGATTTAATCTGGGGCACTTGATGAATATAACTGACCTAATAACATACTATCCCTCACAGTGAATTATTTTATTATGTAGGACTAAATTACAGAAAGAGAGGGTACATAAAAGAGCAGGGGGAGGGAGAGAACAGAGGTAAAGTCTGAGGTGCCCTAATCAAGTCCACAATGATCAATAAAAGGAAGGTAACTCAGATAACATTTCAGAAAGAAGTG